TCAGGCACAATTGAGCCCTATGTGCAGCTGTTGCATGGTACAATTTAAATAGCGAAGGCCATGAATGCTGTGTGCCCACAGTGAACCCGTGGTATGCTGCATGTGCAGAGGATTCCCTCTGGCCAAATGTGAGGAGGGAATCGGAAGTCAGGGACTCTCTCCTCAGGAAGCCCCTCTGAAAACTTATTACGGGCTCATGGAGCTTTCCTTGCAACCTAACTTGCTGCAGAATATTATTGCAATAAATACTTGTAGTAATATTCAAAGTATTTGACCTTTATGTGAATAAGAATAGAGGCATCTGAACATTATCACTAGCAATAATAAATTAAAGGGCTATCGCTCCCTCTGCATCTGGGCATAAACTACTGACCAGCTGGGATCAAGAAGAAATGGCTCATCCCTGAGGGTACAGTATTTCACAAGCTGGAAGGCTTGGAGGGGTTGGCAAGGGATGCCTCCTCTACAGCATGTGGCATTGGTCAATATCAGAGACAGGAAATGGGAATAGATGGAGCACTGATCAGTTCTCATACATCAAGCTCTAAGATCTGCAGTTTTCTATCAAAAATTCTCTCCCTCAAGACAGCATTAGAAATGGAAGGTAAAGTGACAGATTTTTTGGCTTTGAAGTCCTCTTGTGAGAGGAGACTATCCAGGCTCACTCAGGAACAGCCACCTTTCCAGGTACAGTTCAACTAGGACGGAAAGCTAAACTAGTTATAAATGCCATTCAAGGCCTAATGTAAAGGTCAGTAGAAGGGGCCTTTTGTTTTAGGGCTGCAGTTCGTCATTCTAGTTCACACTGGGATACAAACCACCCAAACCAAAGAAATGTAGAGTTAAACAAAACAAAACAAAACCCAGTTTGAGCCTGAAAGGCAGAGCAGTACATGAATGGCTAGAAAATTTCTGGCATTTTTTCACTTTTATATCAATCTTAACTTTGAGGTTATTGTACTGAAAGTCACCAAAGTGACTGATTTGTTTTGAAGGGTGGCTATTTAAAACATTAACATTTGCCCACAGACACCGGAGTTTTTCTGTATGCTTATTTCCTGTTCTATGTTACCACTCTATTCTATTATTACCTGTTCTCGGATACCACTGTTGTGGTGACTGATGGTAAAAGTGAAAAGAACAGGAGTACAGAGACTAACAAATTGATTTGAGCATAAGCTTTCGTGGGCTACAGCCCACTTCATCGGATGCATAGAATGGAACATATAGTGAGGAGATGTGTATATATATAATATACACACACACATATAGAGAACATGAAAAGGTGGGAGTTCCCCTACCAACTCTAAGAGGCTAATTAATTAAGATGAGCTATTGTCAGCTAGGGTTTCTTTTTAATGGCAACCATTGTGGCAAGCCAACCTCTCACATATCCTTGTACAAAACGTCAGTACCGAAAACGTAGCATATGCCAGTTGTATTATTAACATAAAGGTGGCCAGATACAGTTCTTGCTGTTTCTCCTGTTTAAGTAAACCGTTAAAAGGAACACAAACCTCCTATTCAAAATGCCAGTGCCGTGACACTGAAACCGAGTGAATCACAACATATAAACAAATGCTTTTCAGTTGAAGTCTCTCACTATTGAGCTGGAGCTGTATTGTGCTGCTGTTTAATGTCAGCTGCAGCAAGCACGCACAAATGAAATAACTGATTTTCATAGTCGAAGGAAGACTATAGAGCTAATGTAGAGTGTTGCAATTTTACTATAATGGAGTTTAAATCTACACTAACTTCACAACGTCCTATAAAACTTATTTCTCCCCCCCTCCCGCCCCCGGAAAGATTTAGCCCATGTGAATTTATTTTCTGCATGTGGATTTTACTTCATCTGTTCCAACGGAGTACCATACTCAAATGCTGTACCGTTTTTCCTTTTATTCTAATTGCTGTTGTCGTAAAACTCCACCTGCCATCTATGTTGATGTTCAAGTTTTACCATATTTACTAATCAATCTTTAGGAGTACTGCAATAAACATACATCAGAACAACTTTGAAATTGTCATTTTATGTATGAATACATGTACAGGAATCCCTTCACCTTCCACTGAAATGCCACCAACCTCCACAGCAGAAATTAAACACCATGTAGCAACACTAAATAAGTAGCTACTTAGGACAGGAAGTGAAGTATACTGAAACTGTATGGGGACTTTCAGCAAATAGAATGTATAAGTGTGTGATCTGGAGTTTGGCCAGGATTGCATTCCTGTTCTTGTAGAAAATGACTTAGGAACTTTAAGGACTGCAAGTATTCAGGACCTTGAGATTTCTTATCTAAAATTATCAACACCATTTTGTGCATCAACCTGTATTTTTCATGAAGATCTCTCATATGAGTATCAGACAAGTCCAGCCCTGATGCAATCAGTCTGAGATGGTACAACAGCACACTTGAGTGTGACTGTTTTTTTGTGGTTGCGTTATAGCTATGTTGAGAGATGTAAGAGAGACAAGGCAGGTGAGGTAATATCTTTTATTGGACCAACTTTTGTTGGTAGAAGGGACAACCTTTAAAGCTTCACAGAACTCTTCCTCATGTCTGAAGTTGGTAACGGAGGTGTCCAAGCAAAATACAAGGGGAGACAGATTGTTAAACATAATGGGCTCACAGGTTGTAGGAGACCACTTAAAATGAAGTGGGCAAGTATCACCCCTGCACTCATAGGAAAATGGAGAGGTAGTAGTGGGAGGGTAGGACAGTGGAGGTAGTAGGGTATGTTACAGAGTCTTGAAATGGGCCATAAAATCATTGTCTCAAGTCCATGGTTTTTAGTGTCCAGCAGTTATGAATTTAAGGGCTTGTCTATATTTGAAATGCTTTAGTGGCATAGCTGCATGGCTCTAGCACTTCAATATAGACACTACCAATGCTGACAGGAGTAGCTAGGAGAATTCTGCTGTCTACACTGGGGATTTGGTCAGTTTAACCGCACTGTTCAGGGGTGTCGATTTTTTTCACACCCCTGGGCGATATAGTTAAGCTAACTTAATTTTTTAGTGTAGATCAGGCCTAAGTGCCCATGCTCATCTCTTGAAGGTGTTGTGCAGGTTTCCTATGAGGATGAAGACTGAAAGGTCAGATACGGAGTGATCGCTATGTGAAAAGTATTCTCGCACGGGTGATAGACAAAACATGTGTTTATCATGTTTTGGTGAGAGTTCATTTGAGAGCATAGTAATTGGTTTCACCCATAGAGGAGTTGTTGGGGCATTTGATGCATTGGATCAGAGACACCACTTACTGTGATAGGCATGTGTAGGACTTACGGATCTTGAAAGGCATGTTGTAAAAAATTATAAATGACAAAAACACCACATCACCCATGGGCAAACACTTCTTACAAAGCAATAACTTCATATCTAACCTCTCAGTCCTCATCCTCAAAGGAAACCTGCACAACATCTTCAAGAGACAAGCCTGGGAATTTAAATTCATAACTCTCCTGGACACTAAAAACCAATGACTTAACAGAGTCCATGGTTTTATGGCCCATTACAACAATTTGCAACACACCCTGCTACTTACAAACCCTTCAGAGTCCTATGACTGCAGAGATGTTAATTGCCCACTTCATTTTAAGTGGTTTCCTACAACATGTATGAACCCCCTATTCTTAAACAGTCTGTCCCACCTTGTATTTAACTTGGGCATTCTCGTTCCATGCTCCAAAGCTTGTCCCTTCCACCAACAGGAGTTGGTCCACTAAAAGATACTACCTCACCCACCTTGTCTCTCTTATACATAACAGTAAGCTGTATATGGATGTATCACAATTAGGCCTCAGTGTATGTGTAAATTTATGTTCTAAATGCACTCAACCAGATCAAACATTATCAGAGAGTAACTCTTAGTTATCAAAGTATAGCTGAGTGAATAAATAACATTTGAATTGAGCATCTTTTTCTGCTTGTGGATTGTCCCACAAGCACCGTAAGATTTTCTCTAGTTTATTATTTGAAATTATTCACCAAATAATTTGTGCAAATCATTCTGAGCCCGCAGATTGCTTGTCAGCCATTCACTACATCTGATGTTCAAAATTTCAGCTGTACTCTCTAGTTCTATGTAGTTGCATCTATACAGTTTGGAAGAGTTTGAGATCAAAATTTGGTTTCTGTGAATATTCTTTAATATTAATGTAGAGGCAGCTGTTGATATCCTTACTTATGTGGAGTAGTGCCTTTCTTCACAAAGCAGCCCATTACCTTCAGTAGGATTATTCATGGATTCACTATTCAATGTGAGTAAAGGTAACCTCAGATAATCTTGCCACTGAACTCACTTGTTAGAATATTTGTGAAAAGCAAACAAATGGGGGTGTGGATAAGGCTGAGTTCAGTTCAATTGTTTTATTTGACCAAATACTCATGGAAATAATTCTGAAAGTATTTACTTTGCCACTATTGAGTTAATTTAAGAAATACACCTGGAGATTGTCTTATCTAAAACGTTCCTTTTTTAACTCACTGTGTAAGGGATCATTGGAGAAGGTTTCCTTAGCAAAAAAAATCTCCCCACTTTCCTTTAGTGCTCATTTGTAAGTTTGGTTAATGTAAGGTTGCTCCTTAGTGCTGTAGTACTGACAAGTACCTTTAGAAATATGTAAAAATCAACTGCTTTGATATATAGCAAACAAAACCCCCACAGGACAAATTTTTAGCCAGCCTTTGATTTTGTGAATCCAGCTTTGCATCCGCAACTGACTGTGTTTGGGGAAAAAAGTAGGCACGTGGAGGAAAAAATGGTGTGCAGTCATTTTGCACATGACAATTCAGTTTTCTTTACGTATGGGGTAGTCACATGGCAAAAGTGGTTGGGCATGAAAAATTTGAAACTGGGATGCTGAAAATTTGGCTTTGTATCTAAAAACGTATATGTACAAGATTAGCAATTTAAAAAGATTTAAACACAATTCTTATTTCTAACGATCCTTAGTTTTGTTATCTCAGGACTGCAAACCTCAGCTCTGTGGTCTTTAGAGCAATTCCTTTTGTTTATTTATTTTCCCTTAAAAAGAGAATGAAGTAACATTTTAAAGAGAGAGTTGTTGGATAGCAAAACACATTTGTTACTACTCAATGGCAAGAGTTCAAATGATAGCAATTTTAAATTAATATATACTTTCTGCAAATGTTGAGAGCACATATCCATACCTAGTGTAAAAACAAATGTCCTTAGGTGACACCAAAATGGAGGAGTGTCACTTTTGAGAGGCCAAAGGCGAAATGTGATTCTGGTTCTTGCAGGTGTGTTCTCACAAGGCTGGGAAAGTCTTTATTTTTGGGGGTTTCCATGGAAATGCTGGCAGTCTGAAATGGAAACAAAAATATTTAAAAGGAGATGTTTTTAAAAAAAGAGCATGATTCAAAGATGACTGAAGTTTGTGTTTTTTTGGAGCAGAAAGCAGAAATGTTGTTGTACATGGATTTTGTAGATCTGTCTTTAGTAAATCCAAAAGGAAAGCGTTTGGCACCATAAAAACAACCAACACTTCCGGAAAGTTTGTTTTCGTGTCAGCACACATGGATTAGCTCTTTTAATTCATTTTAGTTCTGTGAAAGAGGCAGTTTTCTATAACTGAATTTCCACACAATCAAAATAATGCTTTCACAAGGATGAAATTTGTGACCACCAAATGTGTGACAAAAACTGAGCAGATTTATTTTATGTAAGAGAATTTGCTCACTTATTTAAAAAAATAAATAAATAAGGTTTTGTTTAAAGATGTACATTGAGACAATTTTTCCTGATTTTATGTCCCTTACTTGTAGTTTAATTAAAGTGCAGTCCTGGGAGAGGCCTCAGCTCTCATTCCTATAAGCAGGATTCCAATGCTGCAGGGGGTGCTTAGCACCTTATACGACTAGTCCCGAAAGGGAGAAACGGCCTCTGTACTGAGGCTATTTTGCACTATGTTGCTGCAACAGGGCTAAGGCAGCTCTGAAGTATACCCCGACAAAGGGAGCCTCTCTGGCAGGTGCATAGCCAGCTGTGCATTCCTCCCTTCACACAGGACCCTTAGTTCAGTTCAGGAGGCTGCTGCAGTGCCCATATGGCTAGGGTAGCTTAGGTAACAGGACAGCCTTCAGAGATGCCTTAACAAGCACTGGAGGCTGAACTAGTACACAGTATCAGGGAGGCTCAAAGCCTTCTCCCTTCTGTCCCTGTGATGGGCTACCAAATAGCCATCCAGAACTAGCTGATCCTAGGCAAAACAAAGGTCGTGCACAACCCCTTTCTCCAGCCTCGGAAGACAACAAGTAAGGTGATCAAGTGAGGAGGGAACCGATAGCAGTGCTATTTATATATTACAACTGGAAAATGGCATTTGCAAGTGCCTCAGTTGTAGGGTCCCACTGAAAGAAGAAAAAAATCCAGCATCTGTGGAAACTTCCAAAAATTGCCTCTCAGTGTGGAAACCGGATGTATATTTTGTTGAATCAGGCTCTTAATTATGGAGCATACAAAGGGATTTCTCCCACAGTATACTTCCTTTTAAACAATAGTGTCACACCTGCTTTTCTGACAAGCCTGGTAGCACTTGATGTATTGTTTGTTTCCACAGCAATGTCCTACTAATCAGCAATTGATCCTCCTCTTTTCATTTTAGTGTCTTTGCTGCCCAAATTTCTTCCAATTTACTTGTCATTAAAACAAGGATCTCCAAGTGACCCCCAATCATCTGCCCTTCCTGTCCATTCCTGGTTATGCCAAAAACTGTTAGTTCACAACAGGAAACCAATAGCTTGTGCTATCAGGAGACATTTCCTTCACAGCACAAAACGTCTGAGTAATAATTTCAAGCAAGGCTTCACCCATTTCCTGTAAAAGGAGGAAAGTTTGCCTATCCCAGTCCCTCAGAGCTCTCTGTTTCCATCCCTTCTGTGATGTAATGCCTTCTGTATAGGGAAGATGGATCATTTTCCCTTAGCAGTACTCAGTTCAATATCCTGTATAAAGATTTGGTACAGCTCTTTCAATGATGAAATGTGTAACATTTACAAATAATTAAAAGATCTGCCACAGTTTATACATGTGGCATCTGCTTTTTCAAAATAAGTTAAGGTTCTGGAGTCCAGGGAGAAAAGCTACGATGGAAGGAGAAGGCTTAAGATTCACACGTTCTGTTTTATGAAATGTTTTGCTTGTAAAGCGGAATGTTAGCGTTACAGCTATAACTTATGAACATTTTTCCAGTAGATGTGAGGACTCAGCTAGTTATCAGAACACTTGCTAAATGCCAGACCACTAAGGATTGGAGTGATAATTACTGGTTATGTATGTTACTCAAATACATCAGAGAGAGAGAGAGAGAGAAAATACTGTCTTGACTCAACAAGTCACTTTTGCACATGCTCAAGTCCCTCCCTACTCAGCAAAGCATTTAAGCATGTGCTTGCTTAAGTGTTTTGCTGAATTAGGATTTAATACAATGTTAAGGTGGCACAGTTAAAAAAAATAATCACAAACTATCAGGAACTACAAAGTTAAGGTTCCAGTGGAAGTAGATCTGTGTTTTCTGATGCATGTTTTTAGACAGCAATGTATTAAGACAGTATTTCCCAAACTTGGGAAACCGCTTGTGTAGGGAAAGCCCGTGGCGGGCCGGGCCGGTTTGTTTACCTGCTCTCTCCGCAGGTCCGGCCGATTGCAGCTTCCACTGGCCGCGGTTCGCTGTTCCAGGCCAATGGGAGCTGCTGGAAGCGGCGTGGGCCGATGGACGTACTGGCCGCCATTTCCAGCAGCGTCCATTGGCCTGGAGCAGCAAACCGCAGCCAATGGGAGCCGCGATTGGCCGAACCTGCGGACAGAGCAGGTAATCAAACTGGCCCAGGTGACTAGGGGCTTTCCCTACACAAGCGGCGTCCCAAGTTTGGGAAACACTTTAAGCTACTCCTTTAACAAGCAAAGTAGGGATAGAAAATTCATATGTTCAGTGAGGCTACGTTATTTTGATTAAACCTAATTTTGCATTTCTTGGCCTTTTTATTTTTATTAAGCAACTACAACATTGAATTACCACATTCTTACCCAACTAATTTGCTAGAGATTTCTTTAAAGAACCAAAAGGCTCGTGAGTGGGATTTTTGTTTATCCCATGTAGGCAAAACGTGCCAAAGCCACTTCATAGTGGAAAAAAAACACTGAAATCTGTATAAGCTTTTAAGCCAGTTCAAGTCCGGAAGGTCGACTAGTGCTTAGAGACCTACAGTAATAAGTGTACGCTTCAGAGAAGATGCATCCACAAAATACATATCCAAACTCTCAACCTTAGAACCGAGTTGTATTATACATCCTTATGGATCCTTGTGTATTTCAAAGATTTATAACTTCTAACCAATTTTTAATCAAAACGTAGGCCCTAGTGACCATATCCGTACCAAGTTCCAAATTTCTGCTGCTTTTAGTTAGCCACCCACTCTTCTACACAGATATCTCCACTGCAGGAAAAAAAAAGTCTTTTCCCAATTCACAACAAGCTACAGCTATTTTGCCCAATCTTTCCCTTAAAATAAATAAATAAATAAATAAATAAAAATCACCTTTTGAATGGAGACCAGACATCTCAAAAGGAGAAGTTGTCAGAAAGTTTGAGGATTTGAAAATGGTCTTTATCACAATTGTTACTCTATTATTAACTGAAGCATTCCCTACTAAGGAAAAGCTTTACCAAATAGCTGTCAGTTCTTCTGAAGGCAGAAAACATTTTATTATACTTGTGTCCTCTTTCTTTTTTGTTATCTTACCCAACATAAAACACCACACCTCTGTTGTTTGAAGTCACTCATTCCAATCAAGACGCCCAGCATGCTTAATCCTATATTTTATGTTTTGTTTCCTTTCTCTTTCACAGTCTCCATCTGTGGCTCTCTCTGTCTCTTCCATCAGCTAGAAAGCACACCAAATATACAACCACACCTTCCTCAGCACACACTCTGGTCATGTCTACAGTAGCTAAAGAAACCGTTTTAGTACCTCTTGGCAGAACGGTGCTTAAGCATAGCTTTGTGTTTGAACTAGCCCTTGCTTGAAAGGAGTGAATGTGGTTTTCCAGCTGAAGGTAGACAGGACTTTAATGCTTTACATTTCAGAGTCTGCTTCTAAGCCAACATTTGCCAGTTAGTGGTACAATGCCGTGTGGAGTTAGCATTATTCTCAGAAAACTTTGCCTAATAAAACTACAATCTTAACAGCACTCAATGCCCAGTCCCTAAGTCAAATACTGTAGATAATAGATACATGGTCAGTCTCTGAAAACAGCCAGTTTTCTAATCCCCATACAAATGCATATATATGATTTCAGTGGACCGAGGGCAGCATTTACCCCAAACTATCATCATCCAGCAAAAGAGTCGCTGAGGAAAATTCCTAGAAAACACTATTCACTGCTATTTCTAATTCTAACATATAACTGAATGTTGTGGATTTTTTAATTTCAGTACGTTTTCCTCTGAAACTGACAGTGCATGGCAACTTCTTGTTATTTGACTTTCACCATTGGGGCTTATAGAGCACCTTTCATCAGAAAATCTGACAGCATTTTATTAAGGCTAGAAGAGCTGAATATAGCTAAGCTGAATGATAAGGAGCAAGAGTACATCCTTCAAATACTTGTATATAGACAGTTACCACCACGAGAAAAAAATATTACTTAAGTGCTTACAAGGGCATAAGTGCAACAGGATGAAATTAAGGGAAAATTTAGGCTGACCATCAAGAAAAGTTTCCTGCTAATGTTCTCTGTTAGGTCACAGGATAGTCTTCTATGGGAAGTAGGAAAAGCCCAGCTCAATTAGGACTTTTAAACATAGACTGATTAAGCACTAGGGAATTCCCTGAATTGGCAGGGGATGACTTTATAGTTCCCTCCCCCATCTCTAACTTGTGTAATATTATATATTCCTGCAGAATTGAACAGAGAATGGTAACTTTTGAACAGAATTTGTAAATCATCCGATAGAATGTATTAGAGAATTATATCCCTCCTATGAAATTCATAGGCAAATAGTGCTTAAACTCATCTTACTAATAGATAATCAGAGTTTAGAAAGGTTAGTTAAGGATATATCTATACTGCAATCATGGGTAGACATACCTACACTAGATTTAATCTAGCTAGCACAAGTACAGTGAAGCTGCAACAGCATGGACGTCAGAGCAAACCAGCTCTCGGGTATGTATCCAGGGTCCTGGTGGCCTTGTACAGCCTGTGCTGAAGCCCAGGTTGCTGCAGCTTGATTACTATTGGCACTTAAGCTAGCTCAGATATGTCTACCCGTGCTGCAATCACATTGTGATGGGTTGGATC